GTCTTATTTATTGATTTATTTAAAAAACAAAGATCAGTTGGCAGGATGAGATGTCATTGCATGTGAATTTTAGGAATCCGGAGCAGGAAGATGGTCAGTTTGAAGCCAATCGGGCTTCAGCATAATGGGATTTGGTTTTAAAAAATAAGAACTATGGGCTGGAGAGATGGGCTGGATCAGTGGTTAACAGCACTGACTAGTCTTCCAGAGGATCTGGGTTCAATTTCTAGCACCCACATGGCAGCTCACAATTGTCTGTAACTCCAGTTCCAAGGGATCTGACACCCTTATATAGATGTACATGCAAGCAAAACATCCCATTGCATATAAAAAAAAAAATAAATCTTTAAAGAAAAATTTCAAAAACTCAAAAAAATCTGAAATCTATTGATGATAAATATATATAGTTCTAGTTTTTAATTAAATTCTGTATGTTTTATTATAATCTATGTTTTTGTCTGAGACTGTCTCATGTAGTACTCCCATCCTCTGGACAATGAGTCCAGTGCAGGGGGCTTCCTGCCGTCGCTGTTTAAAACCTACAAACTTGGTAGTTGATAATCAGGTTCATGTTTGTTTTGTTTTTGTTTTAATTTATTTTGTTTTGCTGTGATAAATAAACACCAAGACCAAAAGCAGCTTGGGGAGGAAAGGGTTTATACACAGTTGGTCATTGAGGGAAACCAAGGTAGGAACTTAAGCAGGGTAGAAAACCAGAAGTAGGACCTGAAGCAGAGGCCAAAGAGGAATGTTGCTTACTGGCTTGCTCCTCATGACTTCCTCAACCTGTAGGTTTTTTTGTTTGTTTGTTTGTTTTGGTTTTGTTTTTCAAGACAGGGTTTTACTGTATAGCCCTTTCTGTCCTCACTTGACCCTATCTTGTATCAAGTTGACCAAAAACTAACCAGCCCCCGATCTCACTGTGTTTTGATGGCCTAGAACTCACAGGAGATTCACCCATTTCTGTCTCCCAAATGAGATTAAAGGAGTGTACAACCACGCCCAGCCACATAATTAGCACTTAATTAATTAATTTATTTGAGGCAATCTCACTATGTAGCTTTTGCTATCCTGGAATTTACTATATAGACTGGACTAGCCTCAAATTCATAGAGATCCATTTCCCTCCACCTCTTGAGTGCTGGTTAAAGATGTGTACCACCATTCCAGCCTAAAAATTATTCTTTTAGGTTCATTTATTTTATATTAGGCATCTGAGTGTTTTACCTGCCTATATGTATGTGTGCTCTGTGTACACCTGGTGCCTGCAAAGATCAAAAGAGTATCAGATAGCGAGAACTATAGTCATGAATGGTATTTGGGTGATGGGAATTAAACCCAAGTAAGTCCTCTGCAAGAGTAACAAAAAGGGCTATTTCTCCAGCCCCCTCCCTTATAGATAATTTTAATATGTCTTTATATGGAAATTTGTAGATACAGAATTTACTTCTTTGATTTAGCCCATTCAAGTTGGCCAAAATGTGTTAGTTGTATTCAGTTTGAAATTTCAGAGCTGGGATATAACAGCTGCTAACTCACTTAACTCCTTATTTGAATTGAAGTGGGTGGACTTTAGTGTGCTCATGCCTATTTATCTTTGAAATACTTCCCCTGGATTCATTGAACAGGATTTATGCTACATTGGCCCTACTGTGTAGTTCTGTGCTGTAGAATGTCTGGGTGGAGAGGATTACTTAGATGAAGATCATTGAATCTGCCTGTCCTTGGGTCGCTAGCTAGATAGCCTTTTGTATCCTCACAGCAGTAGCCTTTTTATAATTTAGGCTTTCCACACGGTTTGTTATCAAGTATGACAGCTTGTCATGTGTGATCAGCCTCATGTCAGTGTCATGAGAACAGCACTCCTCTGATCAGCTGCTTCTTAATCTGGTGGGGTGTGAGCATATGGTAACCAAGACATTGTCATTCACTGTGTGGGTTGGTGGTAGCGCCAGGGGCTGTGTGGGTCTGTGTTTGTTTAGGATGTGCATGTCCTCCAGAAAGAGGCTGATGACAGATGGCATCTCTTATTTCTTATTTGAGACTGCATCAAAAATTATTCATACATTCTAGGGTTCAGTAATAAGCCACGTAACAGAATGATTCTCATTCTCTCTCTCTCTCTCTCTCTCTCTCTCTCTCTCTCTCTCTCTCTCTCTCTCTCTCTCTCTCTCTCCTCTCTCTTCTGTCCTTGAACCTATAACAGTTCTGCTTCAGTGTCCCAAATGCTGGAATTCCAGGCATTAACCATGCCAGGCAGAGGATTTGTTTTTCAGTGCTGCTTCTTCATGGACTATTGGTGCATGGGCAAATGATGAGGACTGGTTGATTTACAGACTCAGTTTAAAGCTAAGCTCCTGTGCCTTGGTTATTGAGTACAGTTCTCATAAGTGTGGAGGCAGGAGTTGAGGTCTGCTTTCTTGTTACCTTTCTTCGTGTTCTCTGTGTCACCACTGCCATTAATAAATCTATATTATCTATTGCCCTGTATGTGTGGTTAGTCCGTTTTCATGCTCTCTTATAGAAAAATCACTTCTTAATTTCTAACTTCTTCCCTTTTTTTTTTTTTTGCCAATACGTTATGTCCACTGTAACCCTTTATTTAGGTACATACACAGTAGATAGTGACAGCCACCACTGTCAAGTGTTTGTCCTGTTTGACACAAGTCTTAGACAAAGAAAGTGTCAGAGTATTTGTAATCTGGTCAGAACAAATAGTAAAATCACTGAATGTAGGCTGGAGTACTTGGAAGTGTTTACCCACATGGACAGCACAGGCTAACTGATACTGAAAGGCTTGTACTACTCAGGCGTAGGAAAATGACCCTGAAGAGTGTGAATGGAGCTTACCTAGAAGCATAAAACCCTAGGTTCAATCCCCAGCCTGCCTAAAACTGGGCATGGTAGCACAGTCAGAAGCTCAAAGTCACCCTTAACTATAACAGTGATCTTAAGTCCAACCTGGGAAACTTTCTCTTAAAAAAATCACTAAAGACCGAAGACATGATGGAAAAACAGACTTAAATTGGTCCTTTGAGGAATAATCAGGAAAAAGAGTAAGTTAATAAGGCACTACAGTAGAAATGAAGTATAATGCGTTTTTATTTGTTGAATTGTGAAGAAACTGGGTTGCTTTTTTTTCTTTTTTTTTTTTTTGAGATAGGATTTCTCTGATGAAGGCGTAAGTCACAAACAATCCCACACCAGTTTGGAATTATGATTAATATGGTGGTATTTATTTAAAGGGGAAAAAACTTATAGATCACCGTCCCAGACAACAGCCCTCTGCGCAATCAGGAAGGAGTCTAGTCGTCGAAACGGAGCAGGAAGCAAAAAGAGAGAGAGGAGGGAAGTGGCCGCTTTTTTTTTTTTTTAAGAGAAAGGCCACGCCCCAATGGGCTGGTATCTCAGCGGCTATTGGCTGGAGGAGTGGAAGGACCTCCCCGCAACATCTCTGTGTTGTCATGGCTGTCCTAGAACTCGCTCTAGACCAGGCTGGCTTAGAATTTACAGAGATCCACTTGCCTCTGCCCTCCAGAGTGCTGGGATTAAAGGTGTGCAACACCACCATCCGGCCTGGGTTGCTTTTAAAAAAAATCTTCACTATACATAATTCAATGTGGCTTCAAAGTATGCCTGTTGGAGCCAGGCGTTATGACACATGCTAGAAATCTCAGCAGCCGGAATGTGGGACACAAGGGTCGTGATTGGATGCCAGCCAGGTCTGTTTAGTAAGATCCTGTTTTAACCCCTTCCCTCTTAAAAAGTATGTGATGGGAATGAGGAGCTAACTCAGTTAATAAACTACCGATTGTGCAAACATGAGAACTTGAGGTTGGATCCCCAGCACCCACGTGGTAAAAGCTGGATGCAGTAGCACTGGTCTGTAACCCTCGTATAGGGGCAGATAGGACAGATGAACCCGTAGAGCTTGTGGGCTAGCTAGTATGCCCCGGGTTCCGCAAAGACCGTTTCAAAGAACAAGGTGGAGGGGATGGAGAGATGACTCTTCCAAAGGTTCTGGGTTCAAGTTCCAGCACCCATGTGGCAGCTTAAAACTGTTTGTAACTCCAGTTCTAGGGAACACAGTGTTGTCTTCTGGCCTTCATGAGTACCAGGATGCATGTGGTGTACAGAAAGAAATCCATTCAGGCAAAACACTCATACACCATACAGAAAAGTAAGGTAGAAAACCATCGAGAAAGAAACCTAATGTTGGCCTCTGTCTTCCACTTACATGTGTGAGTATGATTGCATTCACGCTTGTATACACCTCCCCCCCAACACACACACACACACACACTCTCTCTCTCTATGGAAACATCTAAGGAATAAGGGAAGTAGGAGAACTGTAGATTTCTGTGGTGAGAACGACATCAAAGCTGTGTTATCCATGTTCCTAGATCGCTAGCATTGTGTAGCGAATTGATTCTTAGTCAGAGCCAAGAACAGCTGGGTGGCGGTGGTGCACGCCTTTAATCCCAGCACTCGGGAGGCAGAGGCAGGCGGATCTCTGTGAGTTCGAGACCAGTCTGCTCTACAAGAGCTAGTTCCGGGACAGGCTCCAAAGCTACACAGAAACCTTGTCTCTAAACACACACACACACACACACACACACACACACACACACACAATCTGTCTGCATGTATGTTTAACAGGCCAGAAGTAGTTCTGGGATCAAAGTCAGGGTGTTTGAACAGGTGCTCTTCACTGATCTACACCTCAGCCTTGTTATTTATTGTTGCAAAAAATACCTTCTAGCTTTGATAATAAAATTTGATTTTTTGTTTTCTGACTTAATACTAAGTGTAAATAGTTCTGGTTTTTGGAAATAGGGTACCACTATGTTGCCCAGGCTGGCTCTTATACTCCTGATCTAAGGAGACTCCTCCTACTAAGGCCTCCCTCCACATGTGGCTACTACAACTGTCTGTATCTAATGGCTTCTCTGTCCCTCTTTCCATTGTTAACCTCTCATGTTTTCTCTTGTTTATTTCAGGTGATGTAACCCCACAGTCTCTGGACCCAGAAGTTTTATTAAAAGTTAAATCTGAGATTGAAGAAGAACTCAAATCCTTGGACAAAGACGTCTCTGAAGGTCTGTTCCTTCTTCCCTTCCTGAGCAATGAGTAGATCTGTCAGTTCTGGTTATTGTCCATTTAGTACTCTCTCTGTGTCTCTGTCTGTCTGTCTCTGTCTCTGTCTCTGTCTCTCTCTCTCTTTCTTTTGTTGTTTGTCATCATTTTTATTTTATTTTATTTTATTTGTTTTTTTGAGACAGGGTTTCTTAGTGTAGCTTTGGAGCCTATCTTGGAACTAGCTCTTGTAGACCAGACTGACCTCAAACTCACAGAGATCCACCTGCCTCTGCCTCCCAAGTGCTGGGATTAAAGGCATGCGCCACCACTGCCCGGCTGTCGTTTTAATTTTTGAGGTAGGGTTTCACCATGTAACTGGCTGGCCTCGAACCCCCAGCAATCTAACTGCCTCTGCTTCCAGTGCTAGGATTAAAGATGTGTACTGCCGCTGCTGCCTTCTCCTCCAGAGATTTGTTTATTTGTGTGCTTAGAGGTTCATGGTATCTGATGTGAATTCTCCGCTGTGGAGCAGGCCTCACCGTCAGATGATTTTTATGACCTTTTTTTTCCCCAAAATATACATTTTAAATTATATTTTATCTTGAAAACATTGTAATTACATCATTTTCCCCTTTCTTTCCTTTCCTCTCCAGCCCCTCCCATATACCTCTCCCATGCTTTCTTCAAATTCATGTCCTCTTCTTTAAAAATTGTTATTACTTGTGTGTGTATATGTATGTGTGTGTACCTAAATATATAAAACGTAATAACTTTCAATAAAAACAACTGTTAGTTGGGAAAGAAAATTAATAAAAATTTATGAACAAACTAGGCATGCTGATTTGTGCTTATAGTCCTAGCACTTGGGAGAGTGAGGGACAAAGGTCCTTGCTAGTTTGAGGCTATCCTGGGCTGCATAGTAAATACCATGGGAACCTAGGCTACAATGAGACAAATGCTGGCAAGAGCAAAGAAAGGAAGGAAGGAAAGAAGGAAGGAAGGAAGGAAGGAAGGAAGGAAGGAAGGAAGGAAGGAAAAGAAAATAAAGTAAATTTACAAATAAACAATTCATGGTGGTTTATGCTTATAATCCCAGTACTTGAGAGACTGAGCTAGGAGAATCATGAGTTCAAAGCCAGCCTGGGCTAAATAGGAAGGCCTCCAGCTGAAAAACAAAACAATAGCACCTCAAAATTTAGGACCAATCAATTTTGTGTTCCAGACAAGATTAATATGTATAATGATCTTTCCAAGTACCTTAAAATTCCTGTCTCTAACAGTACATAATACCTTAGTTTCGTAGACTCTCAAAGATACCCCTTTCTTTTATTTCTGTTTTTTTTTTTTCCTTTTTTTTTCCTGGAAGCAGGGTGTCGTTGGATCCCAGGTTGGCCTCAGATTCACTAGGCAAGGCTGGTCTTGAACTCCTGGTCATTCTACCTCTATTTCCTTAGTGTGCTACCAGGCTCAACTTTCTTTTGATTTTTTTTTTTCTTTTTTTTGACACAGACTCGTGCTGTATAGCCCAACTGACCTGGGACTCACTGTGTAGCCCAGGCAGGCTTCTTTCTTGAGATCTTCCTGCCTCAGACAACCCTGAGTGTCAAGATTATAGTTGTGCACCATTACACCTGGCTTATAGCACAACTTATGGTCCTATTTATTTTCTTGTCGTTCTTTTAACTTTTATTTATTTTATGTGTATGGGTGTTTTGTCTGTATGTATGTCTGTGTACCATGTGCATGCAGTGCCAATGGAGTCCCAGAAGAGGGCTTTGGATTCCCTGGGTCTTTGTGCTAGGAATCAAACCCTGGTCCCCTGGAAGAGCAGCAAGTGCTCTTAATCACTAGCAATCTCTCCAGTCCCGGCACCACTTACTAATTTTGATTTTTCTTTTATCTTGTCTTCAGCCTTCACCAGCACAGGCTTTGACTGTCACACCTCACCAGTGTTTAGCCCAGCTAACCCCGAAAGCTCAATAGAAGACTGCTTGGCCCATCTTGGAGAAAGAGTGTCCCAGGAGCTGAAAGAGCCTTTGCATAAAGCATTACAAGTGATTCTCAGCCAGTGAGTTGCAGCTGCCGAGTGAAGGGTGCTTCTCTGAGCAGTCTGGGTGGCACGCGGTGCTGGGCTGGCTGAGGCTTTGCTTCAGGCAGTCACCCTTCCTCCTTCTCCCCCCTAAAGCTTCTGCTTTGACTCGAAGCAGGGATCAAATATTCCACCAGAGATCTGATGGTTTTTTTTTTTTTTTTAAACATTTTTATTTATTTATTATGTATACAATTTCTGTCTACATGTATGCCTACAGGCCAGAAGAGGGCACCAGACCTCATTACAGATGGTTGTGAGCCACCATGTGGTTGCTGGGAATTGAACTCAGGACCTTTGGAAGAGCAGACAGTGCTCTTAACCACTGAGCCATCTCTCCAGCCCCCAGATCTGATGGTTTTTATTTACCTGTTGAGCTGTCAGGTTTCAAGAGATGCACTTACTGTGTTATAAACACAAGCTATTGCCTTTGTCCTAATCATTCCTTGTCTCTGGCCATCTATATTCATAGATATATGAATATGGCTGGGGGTTTGTGTACTGTAATGTGTGATTAGCATTATCTTTGTATTTTAGATGGCTGTATTTAGGTATTGTATCTGTATCACAGATATTGTTATCCTTTGGGGTTGCACATCTGCCTGTGAAGCTACTTCTATATTCCTGCAGGGAACTCCTTTCCAGCTGTGGCCCTCACTGTACTAAAACTAAAATTGAGAAGCTAGTGAAAATACAAGGATGCTAAAATAGAACCAATTCACTTATGATAAGTCTCATTGAGGAATTAATATGAATTACAGCATTAGTGTGAATTGATGAAGATGGATCATTGTAGTGATGAGGGCGGTAGGCTGCAGCCTGGCTCCCAGCTAGCTTTACCCAAAATAATTACACGGAAACTGTATTCTTTTAAACACTGCTTGACCCATTATCTCTAGCCTCTTCCTGGCTAATTCTCACATCTTGGTTAACCCATTTCTATTAATGTGTAGCACTACGAGGTGGTGGCTTATCGGGAAAGATTCTAGCCTACATCCCTCTAGGGTTGGGGAATCATGGCGACTGCCTCACTTCCCTTCTTCCCTGCATTCTGTTCTGTTTACTCCGCTTACCTAATTTTCTGTCCTATCAAAGGGCCAAGGCAGTTTCTTTATTAACCAATGAAAGTAACACGTAGGCAGATGACCCTCCTCCATCAGATCATTTAGGAAATTTGTTCCTCACCAAAAGGTTGAAATTCAGATGGCAAATTGCTGTTGTAGTAAGGAAACTCTTTACTGTTATGTAGTCGAGGTTTAGAGTGTGCTGTGTTTTTAGAGGAAGCAGTTAGGGTTTCCATGTATTCTGGTGAAAGGAGCACATATAAAATCCTTAGTTATACTCAGTGGAGCGAAACCATAGGTGGATTTTCTACCTCAGACACAAGAGTAAAGGATGGTATGAGTGGCCAGGAAATAAAGCTTAAGTAGGAAATTTGGGTTCACAGCATGACTAAAGACTAGCAGGGCTGCTGTCCTAGCTCTGAGGGCCTGGAGGAGAAGGGTGAATTGAGTAGGGTTTGCTAAGACTCTCTGTCCTTAAATGTTCAAATATTGTACATACTGAGATTACAACCTTAAAAGATCATGCTTTCTTTTCTTTGTCTTTTTTTGAGACAAGGTCTCACTGTAGCCCAGGTTTGGCCTAAAATCACAGAACTCATCTATCTCTGCCTCTCAAGTGCTGAGTTAAGGAATGTGCCACCATGATGCCTGGCCTTTAAGATTTGTTTTTATTTTTATTTATATGTATGTTGATGCCAAGAAGGCCAGAAAAGGTTGAGTCTCCTCGACTAGGAATTACAAGCCCCATCGTGGGTGCTTGGAACTGAACAGGGGTAGGAAGTGCTCTTAATCTTAACTGCTGAGTCATCTCTCCTTTATGAAAATCATTTCATTCTCCATATGTCAGCTTTTCATTTACTCATTGTAACTTGGCTGGGATATTACCAACTCTCTAATGAACAGAATGGTATAATTTTGCTTTTTGTAACAGGGTCTCTTACTATGGAGTCTTAGCTGGCCTGGAACTCACAAAGATTCACCTTGTCTCTGCCTTCCAAGTAATAGGTAGGGTTAAAGGTTTGTGCTACCATGCCCTGCGTTTTTTTTTTTTTTTTTAATTTAAGAGAATTCTGGTTTAGATGAATATTTAGTTTTCCCGAAACCTTAAATAGTGGCACAGTTATTTTTTAAGTTGGTTATATAGCAAATAAGTTTGTTCAAAAGTCAGTCTTTTGGAAGTTTGAAGCTGTTACTGACACCCTGGAAACAGTGCAGTTGTACAGGTGGAAATATCTCCTACTCCAAATGCTTTTGCCAAAGTGGGAAATTCATCTTAACTCTTTATACAAAATACCTTTGATTTCTGTAGGCCCCTTTCTTCTCTTTACTCTGAGACCACAGAAAGAAGGCTGATCGTTCAGCTACTTGCTTTCCTATGTATTAAAATATGAATGTTTTAACCTGCTACATGTTTCATATGCATGTATATGTATATATATAATGTTTTAAATCATATTTCATTCTGAAGGATGATAAAGTCCTTAGCCTGATAGCCAAACTACCTGTAAGGACTGCAGTGGCCCACAGCAGCATCAGTTCAGAACAGGAAGTGAAGGGACTGGTAGCCGCAAGTGAAGCCTCAGGGAGCTAGAGGTAGGTGGATGATGTAGTATCTGGTGAAATTCCAGTTGTACAGGATTCTAGTGTGGAGCCCAATACTTCTAGAAGAGTCCTGAGCACTAATAAGAAGTGGCTTCAGCCAGGTAGTACTCCTGGGTGTGCTGTGCTTAAAGCAGCGCTGTGGTGGTCGGTGCTGTGCTGGTTTGTGTAGCGGACAGCAGCTGTGCCGTCAGGGCTGTTTCCTGAGTCTCTAGTCTTTAGACACAGTGAAGGCAAAAACATCTGCAAATACATAGAACAGGACATTAACGAAATTTTTTAACATATTTTAAATCAGTATAGTCAAAGTATTTTAAATATTCCAAAATTATTAGTGAGATATTTTATTCTTTTTTTCCTTTGCGACTCTTTGAAATACAAAGTGTGTTAATATTTTAGGCACAATAACCACATTTCAGATTCTTTATAGCTACATGTGATATCCAGACATTTTTGTGGCATATATCAAAATCCTAACTTGAGCCAGGTGGTGGCCTTTAATCCCAGCAGCACTCAGGAGGCAGAGGCAGGCGGGTTTCTGCATTCGAGGCCAGCTTGGTTCACAGATTGAGGTCCAGGATGGCCAAGTCTAAACAGAGAAACCCTGTCTTTACAACAAAACAAAGCAAAAACCCTAACTAGAAATGGAAGTAGTGTGCTATTGGAGTTAATCCGGCTGGGTGTTTGCCCGGCGTGCTTTTGGGATATGTAGTCTCTTAGCTTTTCCCAACTTTGCCTTCCTAATGTGTAGAGATAATATGTGATGTAATGTAATATAAATGTGAAAAATATAAAACCTAATATGTTAGACCACTAATAAGTGGTAGTTTTTATTGTTTGTCTGTATTCATCTGCTAAGAGGTTGCAGACTAGAGTAGTCAGAACAGAAAATGCTTCTGGAATTGGATTTTTAAAACCTATAAAAGCATGGCCCCCTCCTACTTCCTATTTTCTTGTTTTTCTTACCTATTTACTTATGTTTTCTTGAGATAGGTTGACCTCAAACCCAGAGATCCATCTGCCCGTGTCTCCTGCTGGGGTTAAATTAAAGGTGTTGCGTCCACTGTCTGGTTTAGGCTTTTGCCTTTAAAAAAAAAAAAGCTAGATTGTGTTTTCACTGAGTTAAGTTTTACACGTTACTATTTAATTCTTTAATTTTGGGATTTGATATCTGTAATCAGGCATTTATCTGTAACAGAGATAAATTCCAAGTAATTAAAAAATTACTAGAATATATATTTATCTTGATTTAAGTTTTACACATTACTATTTGATTCTTTAATTTTGGGATTTGATATCTGTAATCAGGCATTTATCTGTAACAGAGATAAATTCCAAGTAATTAAAAAAACAATGACTAGAATATATATTTATCTTGATACACTGCTACAACAACCTCCTCAGCAGTGTAGGGAATGTTTGGGGAAATTATATACCAAATATTAAAAGCGATATCATGAAAAAAAAATCAATCTGTTCAGAAAGTTTAGCAGCATGGTAGTGTCTGTATATTTATTCATCTGAGATTAAGCCCTTTTTTGTGACGCAGACTTTTAAAACACTCTTTACAGGCCACTGACGTATCAGGCCTACCGCGACTGCACAGAGGAGACTGCAGCTCATACTGGCGGATGGAATAAGGTAGTCACCAAGTTATCTTCACTAACAATAAAGCATAGAGAGAACTCTTACTCTTAGCAATGTAATGTAGAAGTCCAAACTATGTTAAGTGGATAGTTTTGCTTTACTATTTTCTTAAATTAATGCGCAAGGTTCCACAGTGTGCCCTGTGGTCTCTCTCCTTTGCTGTGCTCTGAGTTTTCTGTCATTTCTTGATTTCTTTGTGTTAGACATGACATTTGTCCCCAGATAGTTACTTGTTAGCATGTGAATTAACATGTGAGATATTCATTTAGATACATCTTCTGGTTCTTTTAAAAAATTAATGCCATGCTGGGCGGTGGTGGTGCATGCCTTTAATCCCAGCACTTGGAAGGCAGAGGCAGGCGGATCTTGTGAGTTTGAGGCAACCTGGTCTGCAGACTGAGTTCCAGGACAGCTGGGGTTGTCACACAGCAAAACCCTGCCTTGTAAAACAAAACAACAAACGAACAAAAAAATTAATGCCGTTTTTGATTTTATAGTTTACATAGTAGTGTGTCTTATGTGGTATCTCATTTGATCATTCCAGACTCTCCTTTGAAGAATGCGCAGTGGATTTTATTGCCCTATGTTGGGGCTGGAAGGGGTGGGATACCCTGCTGACTGGATTTTGCACTCTACTGGAGAACTGCATTCCCAGTATAACGAGCTTTGTTTTGTTATTTGTTTACTTAGGTGGATGACTGTTCATTTGCTGGTTCTAGCCTTTCCACTGTGTTGTGTGATTATCCCTTGTCTTATACTGTGCTGCCTGCCTGTTGCCTTGTAAAGGCAGATTGGGAGGAGATGACTGTGAAGAAGTATAGCATGCTAGCCCTGCTGTCCACAGCACACATAGTCTGTCTCTTGAACCAGCTTCAGTCATGCCTGCATCTTTCCTTGGTGGCTATTTAATGGTCTCCAGTGTCCTAGCGGCTTCATTGCAAACATCTTCACACAGTAGCCTCTCAGAGCCTCTCTTGCAGGGACTCTGACCCTGCCACAGTTGTCTGGCCTCAGCAGCATTCTGGAACCATGGACAAGATTCCATTAATCTCTCAATCTTGCATCTTTCTTGTGTGTAAAGCCTACTAGTACCACGTGGGTGATGCTGCCAACTCCAGATGGAGCCCGGCCCCTTGGATCACAGCTGCAGTAGTTTGTGTGTGCCAAGATCTTTGTTTTTGAGCAGGGAACCCTTGCTGTATTCTTAGATCAAGCTCTCTCCTTTCAAACAGATAAACCTTTTCACAAGCTACTGCCTTGAATTGAAGGGGTCTTGCGCTTAGGATACTCTGCTGTCATCATGGCAGAGCAGGAAGTTTGCCATTACAATTACAGCCTCTCTTCCACACACGCCTTGGTGCAACTTTATATTTGCTTATACTCTTTTCCTTGCCAAACTGCACATTTTTACTGTCTTTCTGCCCATTCTTTGTCAGGGAATTGAATAAAATGTGAATAAAGGTATGCCAGGAGACGGCACCCTTTCTGATGCTGAAAGGCCCCTAGACATTCCAGTCCAAGAATTTCTCAGGGAAAGATATTCCCCGCGATGAATACTGTTGTCCTGTGAGGGAATTACTCAGAATAAGAAGAGAAGACTGTTTGCTTCATCTTTCTTGTAATTTTATTTATTTTTTGAATCAGGACTTCATGTCCTTTAGGCTGCCCTGGAACTCACCGTGTAGCTGAGGATGATCTTGAACTCCTGGTTTGCCTGTCTCGACCTCCTTGGTGCTAGGATTACAGGCATGTACCTCAGTGGCTGTTTCTCTAGTGCTCAGGATCAAACCCAGGCCTTCACTCATGCTAGGCAGTCTACCAGCTAAACCATATTCCCCGTCCTTTCTTAATCACTAGAAAGGTGAATATGAGACCTTCTTGGAATGACTACGCCCTGAATTTTCTTTTCTTTTTTTAGTTTTTTGAGACATTGTTTCTCTGTGTAATTGTCCTGGCTGTCCGTGAAATCCCCTTGTAGACCAGGCTGACCTCAAACTCCAGAGGTCTGCCTGCCTCTGCCTCCTAAGTACTGGGGGATAAAGGTGTGTGCCACCACCGCCTGGTCTGAATCCTTTTAATATTAAAAAAAGACAAAAATGCAGACTACTGAAAAATAATGATTTAGTTTTAGATTATGTAGAATACTTGTGAATAATACAGTTGTATAAATGAGCTGTAGAAGTGACTTAACTTTTCTTGGTTTTGGTTTTTGAACAGCATTTCATTATAGCCCAAGCTAACCTCAGGATAACTATGTGGCCAGGGATGAGCTTCAACTTCTAAACTTTGTGTTATTAACATGTAATGTTCTGTTTTACAAGCTTGAACCACACCACCTAGTTTTGTGTTGCTTCATGGCTGCTAAACAAGTACTGAGCTACATCCTTAGCCCTGCTTAGAGCAACTCCTAATGTTTCTTGTACAGGAAAGTTAAAGTATGTAAAGATAACCTACACTAGTGCTCCCAAACTGGGCAAGGTAGAGGCAAGGAATCAGGAGCTCAGGACCATCCTCAGCTATGTGATGATCTCCAGGCCAGCCCGCTACATGAGACCGTATCTCAAACAAAACCAAAAACATAAATAAAATACAAATAGAAGTGAGTGGGTCTGAAGGTTCATCAAGAAGGGCCTGTCAGATAAGTAAGCCTGGTGTGATGGTTGCTTAATAATTTCTGTGAGTTGAGTGTGGTGGTGCAGATGTAATCCCAGTCTTAGAGGTAGAAGCAGGAGGATCAGTAGTTCAAGGCGAGCCTCAGCTACGTGAGACCCTCTCTTAAGCAAAACAGAACAGGGCTGGCAGAATGACTTAGCAGGTAAAGGTGCTTGCCACCAAGCCTGATGGCCTCAGTTTGACCACTGGGATCCCTGGTAGGAGAGGCAGACTTGCCAGTGTCGTTCTCTGACCTCACACGCCCTATGGTGCACTCTCAGACTGCTCCCTCCCCAGCAATGCATGCGTGGTGTGAGGAATGAGTCACATGTCAGACATGTAGCAACAAGAATATTAGCAGGAAAAGAGAAAGTGCTGCAGTTCATAAAATGGAAGGAAAATGAGACTGTGAAGGTGCGGGGACAACAGATGGGTCAGAGTGGGGAGAGGGACTGCACCCCAAGCTGAAGTGACAGGAGAGAAAGCTTCTCACGTTTGTTACTCATTTATTTTATATAAAATGAGATAGCTGCTTTTTGATAGACGTGGAAGAGGTAACTTGTAACAGGTGAAAGGAAATGTTATTTTATACGATGGCTTATAAAGTAAGATGTGTACAGTTCCTTTCCCCAATAAACAATAGGAGATTGAGCATGCCTAATGTCAGAATGTCACACACTTCTGGATGATTATAGGAGATTAGAATGCTTTGTCGCAAAGGACACCCAGGCCTGTGCAGCTGATCTGAGTTTGCAGGATTCTCAAACCATCCTTTGCCTGCTCCTGCCCAAGGCACTGTGGAGGCAAGATAAACAATCATTTTGTTTTAGACAGCTTGATGCATTTTCTTATGGAAAAGACCTATCTTATTCTAATAGCCCCATTTCCATTTCCATTAGTGGTAAGAAAAGTTTTTAATGTATTTTGAGCTGGAGTTCTTTGAGAATACCAAACAGTGAAGATGTGTGTTGTATCTTCATTCAGACTTCAAAGTGGATTCCTTCAAGAATCCAAAGCCAAGGAATATTAGTATAAAGCATGAACTCATTTTCAAAGTTTGTTTTCTTTTGAGGAAATACTTTGCCATTCTGTTTTTTTCCTCTGTAATCCAGAAACAAGGAACTGAAATTGGTTTATTTCCTCATGCATTCCTTCTTAGGTCACGGAGAGACTTTGATGTTTTAGACAAAAGAGCCTGCGTGCAGATGGCATGCAGTTATTAACATTAGTTAATTTCCCGTCTTTTTCTTTCTTCTTCCCTCTCCTCCTCCTCCCCATCTCTAGCTTCTTAATTTGCGACATTAGGGAAAGATCCAGTTCCTTTGGTGCTCTGCCACCAAGGCATCTCCAGTCCTTTAGTTCTTGTTTTTATTTTTCTGTATGCATTAATTTTTGTTTTCAAAAGGAAGGCAGTAGACTCTAGTTAGTGTCTGTTGTAAATTATGATTATTTTAAATATCTAGCCATAGGATTATTAGGTATTGTCTTAGGGTTTTTATTGCTGTGAAGAGACACCATGAGCACGGCAACTCTTACAAAGAAACCATTTAATTGAGGTGGCTCACTTACAGTTTCAGAGGTTCAGTCAGTTGTCGTCATGGTGGGGAGCATGGCAGTGCGCAGGCAGATGTGGTGCTGGAGCTGAGAGTGCTGCATCTTGACTCAGGGGCCACAGGAAGTCCACTGGCGGTCACACTGAGTGAAGCTTGAGAAAAAGACCTCAAAACCCATCCCACAAAAGGTGTGGCCCAGATTAAAGATCTGGATTAAAGGCACTTGTCATCCTGCCTCCTCCAACAAGACCAAACTTCCTCCAAGGCCACACTTCCTAATAGTGCCACTCCTAATCCCCCATAATATTATGGGGGTCAAATACGTTCAGACTACCACAGGTATAGTTTACAATGCCTCGTTTTGTATTGGAGTTTGGTGACTTTTTCATAAGGTAGCTCATAGTTTTTAAGTTATTATTTTGCCAGATGTGATCACTCACCCATAATTTTAGCACTTGGGGGATCGAGGCAGGAGGATTGCCATGGGTAGAAACCAGCCTGTGTGGCAGCATGAGACCCTCGCTCAGAAAGAGCAACAATGAAAATTTTTTTCAAATACACAATAAAGTGTTTGGTGCAAAATGTAAAAAGTATAGAAATAGGGGGCTGGAGAGATGGCTCAGTGGTTAAGAGCATTGCCTGCTCTTCCAAAGGTCCTGAGTTCAATTCCCAGCAACCACATGGTGGCTCACAACCTTCTGTAAAGAGGTCTGGTGCCCTCTTCTGGCCTTCAGGCATATACACAGACAGAATATTGTATGCATAATAAATAAATATTTAAAAAAATATAGAAATAAACCTGGTGTCAGTGGTGAACACCTTTAATCCCAGCATTTGGGAGGCAGAGGCAGGCAAATCTGAGTTCAAGGCCAACCTGGTCTAAAGAACAAGTTATAGGACAACCAGAGCTACACAGAGAAACCCTGTCATGACACCCCCCCCCCCAAAAAAAAAGAGAAAGAAAAAAGTGCAGAAATACTAGAATCAAAGATAATAACTCTTCCCTCACCTGCCTTGATCACTTAAGTGACTGTTACTAGTTTGTGTCTTTTTTCCCAGAGACCCTGTAAGTCATAGGTGAATGTGTGCATATGCACTGTGTGTTGACTTAAATTTTGGTAATTGGTGCATTAACAGTCTATTTCTTTTAACAGCAAGGGTGACTACAGTTTTTAGATTAGTCTTTGTTGAATTGTTTTTAGCATTTTGTAGCCACAAATAATTAAAAACCCAGAGACGGGTATTGTCATTCAACCTGAAGATCAGAAAAGCAAAGCAGCCAGCCACTAGAGAGCTCTTACCTCTATGAACTCTTCAGACTGAAAGAGAGCGAGTTCCTGCCTCATCCCGCCTTATATTCCTCTCTAGTACTGGGATTAAGGGCATGCACCACCACTGCTCGGTTTCTGTGGCTGCCTAGTGTGGCTGCTGGGATTAAAGCTGTGTGCCACCATTGCCTGGCTTGTATGGCTGACTTGTGTGGCTGTTTGTGTTCTATCTTCAGGCAAGCTGAATTTATTAAAACACAGATGAAATATCACTACAGTATTTTTTGTTATAGTTAATTGTGTGAATTTCTGAATACATATGTTTCCCACATGGTTATTTTCACATAACAACTTTTTCTCCTCCCACTTGTATGAAATTTACAAACAGTAGCTTGGAAATTTCTAGCAGGAGTTGATGTCTTAGCATCGAGAGAAGGAAATAACCACAATCATGTGTCTGCATTAACATTTTTAGTGGTTGAACATAAAAGCTGTTATAAGAATTCCAAGTTTTATGTTTTTCATGTTTTGATCTTTGCATTCAAGGTTTTGGTGCCTCTAGTTTTGCTACAACAAATGCTTTTGGAATTGACACGACGCGGTCAAGAGCCCCTGAGCACACTGCTGCAGTTTGGCGTGACCTATCTGGAGGATCATGCAGCGGAGTTCATCGCGCAGCAAGGTGGCTGGGTATGAGCTTCTTAAAAAATGGGTTTTCTTTAATATAATTAAGACTTTTTAAAAGTTTTAGATATTTTTTATTTGCTGGGAAATCAACCTGGTGATGTTCACGGCAGGTAAGTCTCTACTGCTGAGTTACATCCCCAGCCCAGGCCATTCATGGGTTTGTTTTGCCCTGAACAGTGTAGGTTTTTGTTAGTTCCGGACGACGAGCAGTGGAAAGGCTGTTCGTACCATTTTAAGTTACCTGGATTTTACTTAAACTGATACGTGGTACTTTTAAATAGTTATTGGTCATGAAACATTTCATGCTAACAAAAAACATCAAAATAACTAAGAGTTGAGGAACAGTAAGATGTGTCTGTGGAAAGGATACAGTTAATGCTTTAGGGGACAGCGTGAGATTGCTAGGGACTGAAGTCAGACCACATGTGTTAGCAAGTTCTGTACCATTTAGCTATATCCCCAGCCCACACAGCTTGAATTTCTTTATACTCTTCTTCTGGGTTTTGATATATTTCTATTATCTGTTACCTCATAAGGCTAACAGATTTCCTGAACTTGTTTTAAGCTTTTTATTTTTTGTTATTAAAGATTTATTTATTTATTTATTGTGTATATAGTGTTCTCTCTGCATGTTTGCCTGAATGCCAGAAGAGGGCATCAGATCTCACAATAGATGGTTATGATGTCTTTATAGGCAGTTGTGAGCTGCCATGTGGTTGCTGGGAATTGGAATTCAGGAAGAGCAGTAAGAGCCTTCTCTCCAGCTCCATTTTTTTTCTGTTATTTTTAATTATGTGTTTGTGTTTGTATGTAGGTATGCTCGGGAATGCAGATGCCCACGGGGGCTAGAGGTGCTGGGTCCCTCTAGAGCTGGCGTTATAGGTAGTTGTGAGCCGTCTGATGTGCTGGGAATTGAACTCTGGTCCTCTGGAAGAGCAGTGCATGCTTTTACCCCTGGGCCATCTCTCCAGCCCAGATTTTCTGAATTTTTAAAATCATAGTTTCCATGCGTGTATATCCTTAGGCAGTTATTATTTTGCCTGACTTTTGTGTATAGTATCACACGCTGTATATTTTTCTGTAGCATGCCTGTTTCACTCAGTGTTGTAGTCATTGTTTCTTAGCCTTTTTTTCATTATTATTTTGATAGTGGTTCTTTTTAACCAGGTTTCTTACTCCATAGTTTTAAAACATAGTTGGAGTTTCTTCAAAGCAAACGTTTACAGTCAAACGTAGTGACACAGCCTTTAGTCCCAGCACTTGGGAGGCAGAGGCAGGCACATCTCTGTGAATTCAGGGCCAGCCTGGTCTACAGAGCAAGTTCCAGGACAGGCTCCAAAGCTACACAAAGAAACTCTGTCTTGAAAAACCAAAAAAAAAAAAAAAAAAAAAAAAGTTCAGTTTCAGACTACACAGAAAAATTATTGTAAACTTTCATCAATGTCTGTCGTAGATTTTTTTGAATGATATTAATCTCTTATTCTTTCCCCTGATTTAAAGATTCATGTTACAATTTTAAAGAGTAGCAGCCATGAGAAGGATTATTTATGTTTACTCTAGGATAAGGATTTTCTTGGAAGCATTTAGGGTAAGGGTTTCTTAGAACAGTTTTATGCTGTAAAAATTGATCTGAAGCCAAGTAGGTTGGTAGCAATTAAGTCAGCATAGTTCTGTAAGTCTGGGAACTCTGTCTATTCAGGTATGGGTGTTTATTATGCTGGGTTCTGGGTTGATCCGCACGTCCTCTTCAGTGCTAGAGATGAAAGCTGGGACCTCGCTACATGCTGTGCAAGAGCTCTTACCTCTCGGCTACAGTCCCATCCACAGCTGGCTTCTGAGATGTGTTCTTGTGGGTCTTGGCATCATCCTTTTGAACATTAATCCACTTCTCTAGAAGGGCTTTTCACACTCAGTCTTCTTAGTTAGTTAGCAGGGACTAAAGCAGCATTTGCGAGGGTCCTGTTTGAGCATTAGAAAGAAGTCAGCTACCTGTTCGCGTCTCATAAGCTGAATACCTGAACGACGATGTATGTCTGTCTGAGAGTGAATGATAAAGGTTTATTGGTAAAGTTTAGAGGAGGTGCTTTTCTGGATGGATTTACCAGTGAGGATGGGCTTTGGAATTCTGTCCACTCATCCTCAGATGGAAAAATGAAACCCATAGGTGCTTAGGTCACCAGTCATGACACAAAAGGTAAAAATTTATACCAGATGCAGCAGTTACAAATAATTTGTAACTGATATGAGAAAAAAATCCAAAAAACTTGAAACAAAATAAGCAGAGACATCTGGAAGCAAGCAGTATACAGCTTTAATTAATTTTATTTTTGTCCCATGTAACCAGACTTGCCTTGAACTTACTGTGTAGCTGAACTCTTAAACTGCCTTGAACTCCTGATTCTTCTTTTTCATCTTCTAAGTGCTAGAATTTCAAGCCTACACCACCACACTTAGTTTATATAGCTCTGGGCATCAAATTCAGGGCTTCATTCATGGTAGGCAATCAGTCACTCAACTGAGCTGCATTCCCAACCCATAAAATGGTTCTTTTAATAATTGCTAGGACAATTTTCTTCACCTAACTCCTAAGCAGGGTCATATTTTATTTTACATGAGTTTAAACATATTTCCTTTATGTCCTTATCTGGTTTCATATATATGTATACTTGAAGAAGCGTAACTTGTTTTCTCTACTTCTAGCCATAAACATAAACTTGAGGCCCTGTGATATAATGGGCAGGTGTGAGGGTAGACATTGGACTGTAGCTGCTAAGTTATAGCAGGAGGTCCTTATAGAGACAAGCGTAGGTGATGGGGATGGAACAAATACTTTTGGAACCACTTTGAATGATACTCTACTTTGCTGAGCTCAGGTAGCCCAGAACAGCTGTCTATGTAGACAGGCCCCCTTGGGAAGAACTTCAGTGGTCATTCTTTTTGTTTTTGAAAGAGGTTTATTGAGGCTGACCTGGAACTTACTGGGTAACCCAAGCTGGCCTCCAACTTAGAGCAGTCCTCTTGCCTCAGCTGCTATGCTGTGCTCTCCCTTCAGGGCTCTCACAGAAGGGCCGCTGAGGTGGTTCAGCAGGTAAAGGTGCTGGCCACCAAGCTTGACCTGAGTTGCTCCTGGAACCCGCATGGTAGGAAAGACCCCTCTGATCTCCATACAGTCACTGTGTGACCCCTCTCTCCCTGCCCTCCACCACAAATAAATAAAAGCATAAACTTTAGAGAAAAAAAGACAATTATAAAAGAGCATAAAACGTGGTAAATTTTTACTAAAATGGCATGCCTAAGTACAAAAATAAGTTGTAAGGAGATCATGGTAGCAGAAGATAGTCCCATGAGGTGGCTCCCCAAGCTGCGTGGACAGATGTGCTGCTGTGGCATCCTCTCACTGTGGACCAGAGGCTCTTATGCCCTCTGTTAGCTTCGCCTGGATTGTTAATGAGGGGAGGTTTGTAGCTCTTAGGAGAGTACCTTCTTGCGTGCATAAGGCCCTGGTCTCCATCCCCACATCACACAAACATCGAGTAGTAACAGGGGAGACTCTGTAAGGAAGTCTGTGTCAGCTTGTTAGCTTTCCCTGATGAAAGATCCATTTCAGTAAACGCGGAACCCAAAGGGCTCTCAGTACACAGTGCTCACCTGTTTACTTAGACACCTTTGGTTCTGGTTTTGTTTCTTAATTCGGTTCTTGTTATAGAGAGTCTCATTTTTCAAAGTGCAGATCCGCAATTTACTGAGAGTTTGTATCTTTTTTCTTTTTTCTTTTTTTTTTTTTTTGGTGTGGGGAGGGTTTTGAAATAAGATTTCTCTGTATAACAGTCCTGGCTGTTCTGGGACTCACTTTGTAGACCAGGCTGGCCTCGATCTCACTGAGATCTGCCTGCCTCTGCCTCCCAAGTGCTGGGATTAAAGGGGTGTGCCACTACTGTCCAGCTAAGAGGTCCTATCTTTTATTTGATTTGATTTTTGATTTTGAGTCAAGGTCTCTCTGTAGTTCTGGCTGTCCCGGAACCCATCATGTAGACCAGGCTGGCTTCAAGCTCCAGAGGTCCTCCTGTGTCTCTACCTTCTGAGTGCTGGCATCAAAGTTATGTGCCACTGTGCCCGGCTTGAGAGTTCATATCCTGAAACTCCTGGGCAGCAAGGTTTGGGAGTTCTAACACAATACTCACAGGAGGCTGTGGGTGTGGAGTTGTAGGGGCTACATAGGCTCCTCATAGAGTACCTAGAACACAAGCAAGAAAAAATAGGGCTGTAAGATGATGGTTCTAGAGGGTCAGGATATAGTTTAAGGGCAGAGTGCCTGGTTGGCATGCACACAGCCCTGGGTTCCATGCCTAGTGCTGCAAAAGAAAGAGAGAAAGAAGAAAATGCCCCTAAGAAGAGGGAGGACATCTTGGCTTACTTCATTTGATAGTATTGCTCCTTTAAATAATTTATGTTTGGTTTGAGAGTAAACACAGCTGAGCTCAGGAAGGATAGTGTGTCTTCTAAATATTGCATTGCCCTCTTGGCTTTTTCACTGGAGAGTCAGGTAATTAGCAGACTCCATTTGAACCGAGCCTCTATCTGATGGCTAGCTAATCCGTTAGAGGCAGGTTTTCTGCTCTGAGATATTGATGGATTGACTGTGAGAGGGGCTGTAATGGAGGCAGGGAGTTGAACTGAGTTCCCAAGAGAGTCGTGGTCTTTGTTAGACTGATAGCAGTGAGGACTGCTACATTAGTTACGAGCTGACAAAGGATTCCAGACAGACACAACATTTTACTTTCATTTATCCACACTTTCCCTTTTTTTGGCGCCAGGCCTGAAACTCAGGACCTTTGTGAGCAGAAAAGCTTCACCACTGTTCTGGGTCCCACATCCCCAGCGCCCTCTCTGTTGCTTTTTGGAGACAGGGTCTCAAAAGACAACTAGGTGTTCATCAACTCTTAGTCCTCCTGCCTTGGCCTGTGGCTGGGATGACTTTGCCACCATGCCATTTCCAGACTAGCTGGTAGGCCGATAGGAGTCATTGTGTTAGAGAGAAGGGTTAGGGGCCTGCAAGATGTCTCAGCTGCCGAGGACACTCCATAAAGCCTGATGACTCGACTTCAGTCCCTGGCACCCACAGAATGGGAGGAGAGAAATAACTCCAGCACATTGTCCTCTGACCTCCGTGCATGTGCCGGGGTGTGCATACCCAATTAATAAATAAGTGTAAAAATTCTTAGGAAAATAGTGGTTACTTTTATTAGAATAATAGCAGAAAATGTTCAGGGAAAGAAAAACTTGTATTTAGATATATTATGATACATTTGGAAGCTGTTCCTGGTGTTTTACACCTTTAATCCCAACACAGAGACAGACCAGGCAGATCTCTGTGAGTTCAAGGCTAACCTGGTCTGCATAGCCAGTTCCTCCAGGCCAGCCAGGGCTACACTGTGAGATGGTCTCAAAGAAAAGAAAAATAGATACATTTAGGTGGGAGATGGTACAATTCCTATAAACCCAACACTCAGAAGTCTGAGGCAGGAGGATTCCAAGTTCAGGGTCAGCCTGGACTATGTGTTCTAGGCCATTTCAGACTAAATAGCAAATCTCTGTCTTAAACAAAACAGAAGCTAGATGGTGGTGGCGCACGCCTTTAATCCGAGCATTTGAGAGGCAGAGGCAGGTTGATCTCTGTGAGTTCAAGGCCAGCCTGGTCTACAAAGTGAGTTTCTGGACAGCCAGGGCTGTTACACAGAGTGATTCTGTCTTAAAAACCAAAAACCAAAACAGAGCCCAGTCTGAACTGATCACGTAGCTCTGCAGACAAACTGTCTCTGCGTAACAATAGCAAGGATGTACTTGTTAGAAATGTAGATCTCCTGAGGAGAGGTGTTGACTGAAACTGGTCAGGATATTTGGTGCTTCCTTCCTTTGTAATTTGGAGGATGTCTTATAGAGATGCTAATTCATGGCCTACCTGACTGCTAGCATACAGGTAGATGTGGATTTAACTGGAGCCCATGCACCTGGTTGCCTAGGAGACAGCCTAATGTGTTTTCCGCTCTATTGATGTGATGATATATAAGGTGTTTGGTGAATAAACGAGGGATCTTTTTGGAGAGAGATCTTGCCCGTGAAAGATGACCGTATCTGATTATTCCTCGCGACTCCGTTCCAGCCGAGTTAGGAAATCTGTGTTCGACCCACATGGGCTCTGACAGATTCCGTAGCTGTAGTTGGTTGTGAGCTGCCATGTGGGTGCTGGGAATCAATCCCTGGTCCTCTGGAAGAGCAGTGAGCACTCTAACCACTGAGCTATCTTTCCATTCCTCTCAGCTGCACACTGTTCACAGCTGGCCTGGGCTACCTGAGACCTTGTCTCAAAAGCAACAACGAAACAAAACAAAGGAGATACACACTTAGGAATACATTAAGATCCGTGTTGTGCTTAAGGCGCCGCAAGATGATAACAGAGAGGAAAGAGAAATGCAGTAGAATTGGGGCTTTCTCGCAGCGGTTGACCTCTGACTGCCCGTAAATTCCATGAGTTCTGCCGCTGGTGGTTGTTTTCTTGGTCGTAAAGGGCTTTTTGTGACATTCATTATTGATGAAGGTTGGGAATTGTTGCTTGGCTTTACATTACCACCATGCTAATGGAGGCATATTGAGTTTGAAAGAGTTCCCACAGGAGTGGAGCTGGGGCCGCCTGGGACCAGGATCCACATGAGGAATGGCACTAAGGGGAGACTTGTCTCGAAGCTCAATAGTAACTCTGTTGGGCCTGGGGTGCGTGCAGATCCGGCCGAGTACCTGTGTGCCTCTCTGAGTCCTGAGTTCCACACTCAGCACAGCTAAAGAGCTCCATTTTAGCACTGCAGAAAGTTACCACAGTGCTTGGTTGTCCCTGGTTTCTTTAGGCTCAATCTAATTGTAAGCTAACTGGTTATTTGAATGCCTGTATAGCTGTCTTATTTAAGAAGAAAAAAGGCTGGACCATTGCAGCCTGCTACAGACAATAGAAGTATTATGTCATCAATTTCAAAATATATATTATTGATTATTTTATGTGCATGGAGGTAAGGGACACCTCACAGGAATTAATTCTAGTCTGTCATGGCTGAACTTTCTATCCCTCGTGCAGAGTAAATTGTTCGCTTGTCCCTGCCTGCCTTTTATAGTTCTGTGCTTTGGTTAGACTGCATCTTCTTGATGGCCTTTGCTGCCAGAATTTCATGATTTTTCTGCCATCACCTTGCCTTTTCACACCCAGAAAAAGTTCTCCTCTCAACTCTCACTAGCACTTGGTACATGACTGTGTTTCTGTATTTACTAAGTGACAGATTCCCAGAGTACACAATCTTGTTTTCATTTTTTTTCTGCTGTTTTGAGTTAATTGACTGTATGATGCACAGTGGAGTTGCCAAAATTCTCTCTTTTTAGCAAGGCAGTGGCGCATGCATCTTTAGTCCCAGCACTTGGGAGGCAGAGGCAAGTGAGTCTCGGAGTTCGAGGCCAGCCTGGTCTACAGAATGAATTTTATGACAGCCATGGCTACACAGAGAAACCCTGTCTTGAAAAAACAGAACAAAAGCTTTCCCTTTTAGCAAGGTATGGGGTGCAGGTGTGTTACGCCAGCACTCAGGAAGCTGAAAGAAGCCACTAAGAAAGCTTTGACTGTGGGAGAAAGAAAAGGTGTGATCATAGTCCAGTGTACAGGAACTTTTTTTCAATTAAAAATTAAAACAAAAATGTGTTTTGGGTGGGGGAAGAAGCTGGGGTAGAAGTGCTCCTTTTTCAAAAAAGGAAAAAGAAAAAGAAAATTTCCTTTGCATTTGCGCTCAGATGAGTACGTTCTATTCAGAAGCTGTATAGGTGGGGAGTGTATTTACTCCTGAAACTTGATGGTAGACAGTTATTTTTCCTAGGTTGACAGTTTTTAAAATTAATGAGTCTGCTTGTGGATTCTCCCTCTTCTTTTTTAGGGCACTGTCTTTAGCCTTGAGTCTGAGGAGGAAGAATACCCGGGAGTCATTGCAGAAGATAGTAATGACATTTATATCCTGCCTAGTGACAACTCCGGACAGGTCAGTCCCCCAGAGTCCCCAACGGTGACCACATCTTGGCAGTCTGAGAGCCTACCTGTCTCGCTGTCTGCTAGCCAGAGTTGGCACACAGAAAGCCTCCCGGTCTCTCTCGGGCCTGAGTCCTGGCAGCAGATTGCCATGGACCCGGAAGAAGTGAAGAGCTTGGACAGTAGCGGGGCTGGGGAGAAGAGCGAGAACAACTCCTCTAACTCCGACATCGTGCACGTGGAGAAGGAGGAGGTGCCCGAGGAGGCGTTCCCGGAAGCTGCCGCTCCCTTGCTCCCACAGATCACCACCAAGGAAGCCTCCGAAATGAGAGTTGAGAAAGCCAGCCCCACTCCATCTGTGTTTGTGGAGTTTGGTGAGGAGGAGCTGGAAGCAGCAGCGGCAGCAAGACCTGCTGCCTTGGAGGGGGCGGAGTCGGCCGTCCAGCTGAGTGCAGAGGGGGCTGGGGGCAGGAAAGAGAGCCACACTGGGGAGGCCGCTGCTGCCGGGGTAGCCAAGAGTGCCATGCCCATTGAGGGCAAGGCTGTACTGCTATTTGGAGGGGCTGCTGCAGTGGCCATCCTAGCTGTGGCAGTTGGAGTTGCATTGGCTCTAAGGAAGAAGTAACAGCTTTTCAGACGAGAAAGCAGACAAAAGGACCTGCGGCTTTAGTTGTATTCACTGGAACATAGACTGCCAACGGCTGGCTGGACACTGGCAGGACACTGGGGGAGCTGGCTTGACACAGAGTGTTCACACTGGCCTGGTTGTCATCCTGAGGGCCTTGGTGCACACCACATTCGGCAGGGTAAGAGTGCAGTTCCCGTCTAGGACAGGCCTGAGCACCCTTACCTCTCAGTAATTCTCTGTAGGAGGCTGCCCTGTGCGCATAATGATCGGGAACAGCCCTGGCTTCCATCTAGACGCCAGTGGCACCCCACTCCAGGAAGGACAGCCAAAAATGTCTCCTACATTGCCAAATGTCCACTGTGGGCAAAGTCATTCCCTGTTGAGGGCCACTGCTTTAAGGGATAGGGTACAATTAAGAGAATGTGGGGGAGGAAGCTGCAGCTGGGGACAGCCAGCTGTTCATCTTGTTGCAGTTTCTCGTTTTTGCCGGTTTCCCATTCTGCAGCGTGAGGTGCTCTTGCATTGCACCACCTCTCAGGTGCTGCAGCAGTGTGGCTCACCCTGCACCCTTCCCACCCAGCAAACCCCCGAAGCCTCCCTGGCTCCATCTTTCAAAGATGCTGCCGCTAGGAACTGCTTAAAAGATAAATACCCAGGCCAGGTGTGGTGGCACCATCTGTAATCCCAGTATATAGGAAGCAGAGGCAAGGAGATTTAGCACGAGTTCAAAGCTAGCCTGGTATACATACTGAGTTTGAGACCAGCCAGGACTGCATGCTGAAACCTTGTTCCAAGAGATTAATGTGTTAGAGCCGTGTAGGAGACTTGAGGTGTCCTAGTGTGATTACCAGTGCAGGTTACAGGCTGTGGTCATTGTTCTTAGAGGCAGGAAGGCAGTCTACACAGCCTGTCCGGGTCTGCTGGACCTCTTACACGTGTGGCCAACCACCCCACATGTCCATGACACCTGATGGCATTTGCATCATCTAGGACCCTGGGTTAGTATTTCCCAGTACCTGACCTTGGTCTTTGGAACACCATCAGCTTCCCGGGGGGTCTCCTGCCATGTAGGAAGCAGTGTCATTGTTTGGCTACAGAAAGTTGGAGCATAACCCTTATTCAATGTAAATCATTGAAATAAATGATAAAATTTTATCATTTACTATTAGGTATCACTTAATGAAAAGTGGGACAGAAACTTGAATTTAAGACCAAGACTGCTGCTCAGGTGCTGTTTGGTCTTCAGAGTTCAAGAGGAGACCTCTTGGCCTGAACTCTGGTCAGCCCGACGCCAGGGTGACAGACCAAGAGGCCCCTATGCACTCACTCACCTGTACTTAGTGGGACTCAGCAGGGTCTTCTGTCATTTGGCTGACCCCATCCCTCAAGGAGGGGTGGAACCTGACCCTGTCATGCCTGGGGGCCACAGTGCCACCTGCAAGGCTCACGTGCTTGGTAAGAAGTCTTCTCAGATTTAACTTAGTCATGTAACATTACACTTCTTAGATTCTGAAATTTATAATAAAAATAATTTTAACTACTCTGATCACCAAGAGCTGATGTTTTAAATATGCTTGATTTTTAAAAATTACTTTGTAAAGAAAACTATCCCTTAAAAAGTACTTGAAAGAGCGGATCAGGAAGAGATTTGAGCATGTTTGTGTCCTGTCGCTGTGTCGCACTGTGATGCCCATTGCTGTCCTGTGGGTGTAAGGGCTCTAGTGTGACCAGAGGTGGTAGGAGTATGTCCTGGTTCTCACAGCTCAGAGACTGGTGGGTTGCCTTACCTTGATTTTTTTTTTCAAAAGAGTTTTCTTCCAGCGTTAACCCTTTGGAACTTTGGGTTCTCACTGGTGTAGCCCATTTAAGGGCTCACGGCCACATTCAGGTGGGAGTGGCTAAGAAGTCTGTTATAGGATGGCTGTATCTGTTCTCCACCAAGGCAGGGACAGGGAAGACGTGGTACTGTGCTAACTGCTTGTTGCTGTGTTTTACTACCCCATGAACACTAACCTGGTTTGCCCAACTATCTTTTTCTGGGTGATGGTAAGTAGATGACTTCCCATTGGTTCTCTCTACACGGAATCTCATTCCTAGGAGATAGGCATGTTGTATTTCACTGCCCTCTGCTTGGCAATGGGACAGAGTAGCCACCACAAGTGTTGCTGTACTTGCTAGGTTTGCCGTTGCTCTAAATGGATAAAAAGAAATAGGCAGTCTCCCTGTATGTAGCCTAGGCTGGTCTTGAACTTGTAGTCCAGCCTCAGGACTGAGATTATAAGCATGTGTCACCACACCTGGTCTTTCTGTCACATTAAAATTAGTTCTCAAGTCCTTCTGGGGACTGACAGGAGGCTGTTCTAAAGATTCAGCATGCATTCAGCCTGACTGGGGCGCACAGCATCAGAATCGAGTCACCGCAGCTCTGCTGTTGCTCGTGAACCAGAGTTTTACTAGTTCTGGAGATTGTCGCCTGTGTGTGCACCTCAGCCCTTCCTAGAATTCTTAACTGCTCCATTCTGCGAAATGATTGGTGCTCACTTAGCCAAAATCAGTGAGGTTTTCCTGACAGACACACCAGGACTAAAGAATACCAACTTAATCTTCTGTACTGACGTGGCAGATCTGAGTCGAGTGCCTTAGCAGGAGGGCCTTGCATGATCATCACTGCCTCTAGAAGGTGGTCTAGATCAGCGGTTCTCAACCAGTGGGCCGAGACCCCTTGGGGAGGGGTGTTGTACATCAGCTGTCCTGCATACCAGGGGTCTACAATTCCTCTCAGTAGTAAAATTAGTTATGAAGTAGCAGCAGAATAATTTTATGGTTGGAGGTCTCCTCACCACAATACGCAGTGTCACGGCAGTGGGAAGGTTGAGAATCACTGCTCTAGAAAAACATGCCTGTTTGGGTTCACATGTACCTCACCCAGAGCATCCCTGGCCCCTCCTGCCTGTGTCCAGTCCCTTCAGGTGTCATTTGTCCCAGGGAGAGTGAGGTTCTCTGAGCCTGGTTCTTGGAACCACAGCTGCCACTGCTTGTCGTGGCCTCTGTGCTAAGTTCCCCAGTCAGAGAACACAGTGTCTGCACTGCCTTTTGCTCTGAAGGGGAGATGTGGGCATTGAGCTTTTAAGAGCTACTTTTAGAAAAAAACTACGCTTTATAGCTAAGAAAAAGTCCTTTCCTTACTCTTATTTTAGGTCTTCATGAGCTCTCTGCTCACTAGTATGATCAGCCTTGGTTGGTCTCTGTCTGTCTCTCTCTCTCTCTCTCACACACACACACACACGCACACAATCTTAGCAGCAGTACACCACTGAGAACCTTCATTTGTGAGATGGCTATGGCCTGCCATGGTAGTATACCTTCTGAGTGAGCTTTGTGGGGGTCGCTGCCCCTTTTGCTGATATTGATTGAGCACTTAATACATACCAGAGGCTAGGGGACTTGCACTCCGTCAGGTCCTGGGAGCTGCTCACTCTAGACTTCCCATGTTAATGAGTAGGAACCCACCCAGAACTCATGGTTCATGTGGCCTAGCTTATCAGAGGCAAGGCAGCGAGTGAAAATTCGACTCCAGGCCCAGTGCAGCGTCCCTTTAGCCACTGGGTGAGCGCCCCAGGATCACCCTGTGGCGGTTCTTGATGTTCAGTAGCCGTATTTAATGTGTGTTTCCATAAACAAAGCCGGACTGTTGGACACAGCTGTCATCCCAGGCATGCAGTGTGACAGATGAAGGCAGCCACTTGATGCCTCTCCCCCCTTGTTGGCAGTTTTTGATCCCTCTGGTCCTTTCCCCTGTGGTGACCATCAGTCCAGGGTGGGCATATTGAGGGATATGGGGACACCTAGAGGATTTTGGGTTCTTGACACTCAGACTCAGGAATGACCAGACAGTCTTGCATCTTGCTCTCCTGACAAGAGTGCTTCCCAGTGAGATCCTGCCACAGAACTGCTGCGTCCATCAGAGCCGACCCTGGTTCTACAGCCGCAGAGCTGGAAGCTGTTGTTAAAAGATGAACACACTGCCATCTTCACACAGCCCCCCACCGAGCCCCAGCTTGGCTCGCCCCACTTTGCCCTTCCCACGCTCATGTTTACACGAGGCCCCAGCCCCTCAGCTGCTTCAGTGTCGCTCAGGGCAGAACTGTCTCAGGAACACTTTGCCGGGCCTTGGCCCAAGTCGGAGCAGCCAGCTCGGGATTCTCCCGTTTTCTCCTCTCAGAGGGTGTCAGACCTGCTTCTGGATGTATCCCTCCAGCAAACACTTTGACATGAAAAGCTATTCATTTGTCTATATATGTGTGTGGATGCATGTCACAGTTCTCTCCTTTCACCATGGGGTCCCCACACTTGGTGGAAGGCACCTTTACCCATGGCTATCTTGCCAGGACCACGTTTTGTCATTTTGAGATGACAGGTTTGTGGAGGCCTTTCCCAGGACGGTGAGCTACACCTTCCCTTAGTGAGGTCTGGTACCGTGTACATGGACCATTTGTTGGCCAGCACAAAAGGAAAAGAAACATTTCCCCCCCCGAACCTGTATTTTCCCTGCTCTTGTAATCTGTCTTTCTTCCTTCATATTAAAAGTGCCTCTTTCTCCTAACCCCTTGATTGAGCTCAGTTTGTTACTGACTCTAGTTCTTGGCGCCCTGCTCCCCCACAAAGTACTGGAATGATAATTATTATTAATACAACAGAGTCAGGCAGACATAGCTGTTATGTCTGCCTCCAGCACCGCATGAACTGGGCATGGAACACATACCTGTAATCCCAGCACTCAGGGGAAGGAAGGAAGACAGTATTCAAGGCCATACGTGGCTAAGAGTTAAAGTTCAGCCTTTAATACATGGGATCCTATCTTTAAAAAAAAAATTAGTATTGGGTTGTGGTGGTGCATGCCTTTAATTCCAGTACTTGGGAGGCAGAGGCAGGTGGACCTCTGAGTTCGAGGCCAGCCTGGTCTACAGAATTAGTTCAGGACAGCCAGGGCTGTTATATAGAGGAACCCTGTCTCAGAAAACAACAACAACAACAAAAACTAAATAAAGATTAGGATAAGCATTTGATCAGGTAGCATCATTTCCAGTGTGCTTATCAGCCCCGACTTGCTCGATGCATTACTGCGAGCTGTCTTGGCTCCTTTCCCATGCTGTTGTCTACTTTGTGCCCAAGCTCCTCTCTCTATCAGGAAGTGACAAAATCCAGGTCTACAAACTGTGCTTCCAGACAGCAGCAACTTCTTGGGGGAAACTCCCTGGAGGTGACAATAAAACAAGCTTTTCTGATAACTGGTGATTCATGGTTTTGTCCGCTACTGTTGGCCTAGGGGGATGACTTCAGGTAATGTTTTGTAGTCTCTTAAGTGCTGGCATTCTTGGTTTGCCTTAGTCCTGAAGCACGATCCTGCCATTCAAAACCACACCTGAGTTCCCAGTTGGCACAGCCAGTGAAGTCGCTGTGACCCCAAACACCTGTGTTTATACTGGGTCCTGAAGGTCATCGGGAATGCTGTGACCTCTGATGCACTAGATCACCTAGGAGATGTTGCTAAGCATCATCCTTTAGAGAAGAAAGCCTTTTATTTTGAAGAAACAAATTTCTATCACTCATATCAATTCACATACTTTTAGAACAGAATGGAAAATATTCTCTGAATTAACATCATCTCTCAATTATACCCACACAAGAATCATGTTACTAAAGAAAAATTCCACCAATTTCCATGATACACCAGGCCGTCATGGCTGCAACAAATTGAAGATTGGAACACTTAACAGGCAGTGGTGGCTCATGCCTGCAATTCCAGCATTAGACAAGTTAGCAGGAGAATCACCTGTGTTTGAGGATACACAGTAAGACCTTATCTCTGAATACAAAAGAGGGGACATTTGGCTTTGACACATGGAATCTTTCCAAAACGTTGGCCCGCTGAGAACGAATGGCAATTTTGCTTTACAACCAAGAATGTCTATCAGGTGTGACTGGAAATTACCTCTGCGAACTTGACTAAGATGGTGGCCACTGCACAGTGGGAGGTGACGAGGCTACTGTTTGGATTACTGGCTGCTGTTTTAGATCTCTCCAGTTATTTCCAGTTGACTCTGGTATTTCATTTTCTTGTGTAAATGTGTTTCCTAGCAAACCTGATTGTAGTGACTGAGTTTGTGTGCACAACTCAGTTTGTTCCCACTGGGATAGAAATCTTTAGAAAAACAGTCCCTTGAAACAGCTAAACCCTTGCATACGGGTGGGGCGGGGAGGGGCAGTTTGAGAACAGAGTCATAGACTCAAACCTCATTGCCATTCAGCCTTTACCAAGGAAGGCTGTGGCCGTCTGTGCGCTGGGTGGAGTTCTCACTCCGGGGCCAGGGCACCCTGCTAGCACTGTCCTGAAACAGAAGCCCATCTGCAGGGCGAAGACAGCGACCCAGGCTGGCCTCTCGTGAACAGTAACTTCACAGTGTAAGTAAGTCTTTCTGCCTTACAACCTGCTTTTGAGTTTAATTTTCAAGTGGGAACCCGTACAGCTGATTAGACGAA